GGAGGTTGCAGTGAGCTGAGATCACACCACTGCACTCCAGCATGGGCGATAGAGAAAGACTCAGTTTTTTTTTTTTTTTTTTTTTTTAGACAAAGGAAAGTTTTATAGTTACAAATATCAGTTTCATTGGCCAAATTTATCATCATCTTTATGAATACTATTTGTAGAGATAATATGGACGTTTGCCTCTTGGAATCATGGTAAACTGAGGTGATATCACTGGGCTTCCATTTCTTTATTTGTAAATGAAGGATTTGGGCAGCTTGATCTCTATGGTCTCTTGCCTTTACACTGTGGCATGCACATGGACACATGCACCTGTGAAGCCCACTTAAAGACACCTGGCATCCCCTTAGTGAGGCATCAGTCATGGCCCACTGGCTCCCAAAATGTAGAATTCAGGTTCCAGGTGGCCAGTCAGCATGTCTGAGGCCAGTCATCTAAGCAGCTGGCCTTTTCACCCAGGGGAATGCTGTTTACATATAGCCTCCAGCCTTCATTATAGCTCAGGATCTATAAATAGTGATGGGTACAAACTAAACCAGCTAGTTTGCCCTCAAGGAGCTCCTGCCCTCCTTAGGGAGGGCATTTGAGCCAGTCTTTTCACTCTGTAGGCTAAAGAAGAAACTGAACCCATTGCCTATCTTCCATGGGCCACAGGAAAAGGCCACAGGAAGACCAGGTTGTGGAGCTACCATTCCAGGCATGAGTTTCCCTGGGACAAACTTGCCACGGAAAGGGCCCAAGAAGGGAAACACGTGAAGGCTGGAGTAAAGGGAAGGGGAAGGATGATGGTTTAATCCTGGTTAATGGCTAATACTGGGTGGTTAATACTGGGTATCCTGGGGGCCTCAGAAGACGGCCCATCCCAGAAAGTTGCCTTCCCACAATGCCTGTCGGTACTGATCTCATGTGCAGGAAAAGGAGGATCCGGGAAGGAAGAATGGGCTTAGCCGAGCGCATTCACACGTAGGAAAGAAAACTTTGCCACAATGTAGGAAGGACCAGGTGGGTATGGGGAGCCAATCCGGTCACTGTCCCAACAATCCTGACGCATAAAAGGTACAGAAGAGAGAAAAAGTTAGTCATCTAAAATCGATAGAGGTCAAAATTATGGCATCCCAACTGGAGGCAAAGTTTGATAGAGCTATAAAGATTGGAAAGTGTTTGTTGTGTGGTATAAAGCAGGGGTTATTTTTCAAAGTATTGCCCATGGACCAGATAAGGCCCATCGGTCTGTTTCTATACATGCAGTTTATTAGAAAACCCACCTACTCATTTCTGTATTACCTATGGCGGCTTATGTGTTACAACGGCAGAGTTGAGGAATTGCAACAGAGACCATCTGGCATACAAAGCCAGAAATATTCACTATTTGGCCCTTTACAGAAAAAAGGAAAGAGCACGTTGTTCCAAGTCCTGGATCCACAACTTTGGGTACATACTAGCTTTTGTAACTCACCTTTCAACTTGTTAATTTCTCATCTGTAAAATGGGGGACTCTGCTACCTGTGCCGCTAACCACTTAACTCCCTGAGGAGTGAAGACACTGAATGAAATGAGTGTGAAAATGTACATTAAGATCCAAAGAGTTATGCAAATACAAAGTGTTACTAGGGCTGTTTTGCAAGTATTTGGCAAAAGAGAGAAGACAGAGAAAGTTGTTTTTTCTCCAGTGGGGATAAAGAGAAATAATAAAGGTTGTCAAAGGGCATGTGCGCCCCCCCCCCCGACTTTTTTTTGGTCAGTTAATGTATAGTTTCCAGTCAATTGAAGGTCGGTTATTAAAATTAAAGGGAAGAAATAAAATCCACAGCAACCTTGATAAAGGATTGAAGAGATTCGTTAAGAGAGAGGTGCAGTCAGAGGAGGTCCAGGCACAGGTCTGAGGGCATGCTGACCCACCCGGGAGCAACAGAGGGGGACTGAGGGAAGGGAAGAATGAGAAATCCAGGAAATATTGCCTGGGATATGTTTATATGGAAAATTATTCACTGTTTATCTAGAATTCAATTTAGCTGGGCATCCTGCATTTTTATTTGCTAAATGTGGCAACCTTCCCGCACCCTGAGTGGTTTCGGTAGGGCAGCCAATCACACAGCTCTGCTCCCTGATTGCAGAGCTTGTTGATGCTCAGTCCTGAAACTCTGAACCTTAAGCAGAGAGAAATAAGGAGAGAAGGCAGTTGGGGCTGATCGTCTGATGGCAATGTTCCGGAAAGATCTTCAGAGCTGCCCAGTTCTGTCTTTTCCAGGACTGTAGCTCAGGCTTGCTTTTAATTCTGCAAACGAGGCCATTCATTTCCAATCGATCCCGCTCTGTTCCTTAGTCAGCTTGGTTTCTGTTACTTGCCATCAAAGAACCCTAACCCAATATCTCCAGACACCCAAAACAGTATCCAATAAACTGTGGGGATGGGTAAACGGGTGGACAGAGAGGAGAGGAGAGAAGATGAGCTAGAGAAGGCTTTTTTTGAGTGTAGATCTGGACACAGACAGGGAAGGATGGGGGGAATGGTGAGAGTATTCTCAGAATCTGGCAAGTTACTTACCTCTGCTATAACAAGAAGAAGTAGGGAGCTACTAAACGTTCTTAAGTAGGAGAAGGACTTGATGCAAATGACATTCAATTAAAAAAAATATTTCCAAAGCTGGCTTTTAAGTGTCTTGGAGGGGAAGAGGGTGGCAGGGAAGCTGGCTGGAGGGGGCTGGCCCCATGGTCCGAATGATAGTCTAGGGTTCTGGTGTGTAGGAGCGAGGTACTGAGAATGAAGAGGAAGAGAAAAATGGTGAGAGTCAGCTCAGAGGAGTCTGGGATTTCTGGTCATGGAGAATATCCAAGAGCGGGGAGGGAAGAGCTCCAACTGGGTCACGAGCTGCAGTAATTCAGCCGTGGGGCCTCCATGACCATGGGCTTCCCAGGACCTGTGGCTGTAGGGTGGACCCATGGTGAGGGCGGTCTGAAAGGCAGCTCTTGGAGGCCCTTGGGCTGGTGAAACTCGTTGGCTGCGTTACCACTCTGGGGGAGGGCTGCGGTGAGTGCAGGCCGCAGCAGAAAGTGACAGGGATGATTAAAGGGCTGGAAAATCAGGCCCATGAAGAGAAGTTAAAGGACTGCAGCTATTTAGCCTGAGGAAGAGAGGCAGCCATGTAACCGCTCCCTTCCAGCCCATGCAGGGTGACTGGTAGACGCGTGCTAGGCAGCTGCCCGGCAAGCTGCATATGGGGGAGAGAGCACCCCCGGAGTGGGCACCTCTGCAGTGAGGGAAAGTCACCCTCCCGAGGGAGGAGGGGGGCAGAGGTGTAATTATAAAGGCTCTTTTGTGGTTTCTGAAGGCCCCTTTCCCCTCCCCTTTGTTTTTTGCATCTGTCATTATGCTGTGCAAACCACAGCCAGGCCTCTTGACAGCACCAATATCTGCTTTCCTGAACACTCGGAAGGTAATGTGGCTATAAAATTGACAAGTTAGATAAATACGAGTACAAAGGGTAGACTGTGTGGAGCTTCGTGGAGCCTTCTGACTGGTCTCCCAACCCGACCTGGGTAAATCCCCGTCTGCCTCCCTCCGTTCACCCCCAGCCTCGTTCATTCCATCTGGGCTCCTTCTGATGGACGCCCCAGGAGTTCACATTTGCTCGGCCTCTTTGTCTAATTTGTCACTTTGACAACGTGAAAGGTCTTTTATTTCTTCCCAGGTCAAATATGTTTCATTCCACTTAAAAAAATTTTTTTTAAGCTGCTTTTTATTTTTATTTTTTGGCCAGGCCACACTCTTGCTGTCTTGGCTGGGCTGCCACGGTTCTCCCGGAGGAGGCCCCAAAGCCCCTGGCCCACACTCCTGAGATCACTGCGAGGGTAACCGAGGGCAGACTCCTGTGTCGCCCTGATCCTCAGCGGAGGCCATATGGGTAATATGGTCATGGAAGGTAGGTAGCTTATGAACACCACATTCAGACACTTCAGAAGTGGAGCTGGGTGGGGTGGGATGGGGGATGGGAAGAGGAGCCATGGGGAAGGAACAGTAGTCAGGATTCACCACCAAAGTGATGGAATCTGGCTGTCCAAAAGCCCAGAACTAAAATGTATTTGGTTTTGGTCCTGTTGCTAACGAATGGAAGCTGTCAGTGAGCCTCACTCAGTGTTAGCACAGTCTCCTGAGTGGGTGAGGAGAAACCGGGGGACCAAATCCCCACCAAAAAGTACTGTCAGGAAGCAGGGAACTTAGACCAGACCGGATGCTCGTGGAGTGACAGAGATCACATTCACCACCGACAGCCTCCAGCTCATACCCTAGCAGCGATCGAGGAGGTGCGGGCAACAGGGCTTTTGGGCTTCCTCCGGGAGAGATCGTGGCTTGCTGGCCCCACTACGTGCTGTGGCCAAAGCAGGCGACATAGATGGGGAAGGGGTATGGGAGAGGAGCAGGTACAGAGTCTGCTCATTCAGGGATTTCCAGATGAGCTGAACCTTTTCCCAAACAAGAGTAAATGCTCTGTCCCCTTCTCCTAGGGGAAGACTATCTCCCATGGGGATACCCTAGGGGCAGGCCTGGCTTGTACTTTCCCCTGTGAGTCCATAGCATGCAGCAAGGGATGAACCCCCAGCAAGCAGTTGGCTCTGAGGCTGGCAGTTCAAGCAGTGGGGTCTCAGCAACTGAAAGGCAGGGCTGCCTGCCATTCTCCAGCTGCGACCGCCCTCCTTCGCATCCGCCAGGTGGGCATGACTGACAGCCACCTCTAGAGCTGTTGTGAACATTGAGTAGCACCGTGTATGACCTGGGTTTGGCATGCTTGGCACGGAGTGAGACCTGATAATGTTAGCTACCATTGTATTAATGCTAATTTATTTTCAATATGACTTGTTGAATGGAGTGGATGAAGCAAAGGATGAGACTCGGCTGGAAGGGCTGGGCTTCTGAAACCTGATCATTTCCTGCTTTAATGCTGCTCCCTCACTGTGGTCAGCCTGAGTGGGATCGGCTGGGCCAGCCTTCATTTTACCTTTGATGCCATCTGTCTTTGTGATAGTTCTCTCTCTTCCTCTTCTACCTCTTCCTCTGCCTCATAAGCAAAGGGCAAGGCACAGTTCTGAATCTAAGGTTCTGCAAAGAGGCATGCCCATCTTTGTGCTTGATTCCGTTGGAAAAATAAGAACAATTCCTATTATGTTCGGTTCCCAGACCTTGAATGTGTCAGGCTTCAGGTTCACTTCCTATGTCTCTGCACGTCCCCCTGGATCTGCAAGTAATTTAACCTTGTTTTCACAGAGCGCAAAGACGTTCCGCTTGTTTACACTGGAGACAAATTTTCCTCAATTGACGCAATCCTATTGATTAAATAATGACCTTCTTCCTCATTTAAAGGTAATTTCGGTTGGTATCATGATGTGGAGGAAGAAAATGAATGCCTTTTCTGTCTCCCTGCTGAAGGGCAGGCAGTGAGGGCTGCCTCCCAGAGCTCTGGGCAGCCCTCTCATTTTTCTCACCTGTTGTGGAACTTCATCAGGCCTTGGAGTGAGGCCGGTGCTGGGACCCCTTAAAGAGGTTGACTAAACAGGACCAGTCTTGATTAGGGAAATTAAAACGCCAGCATTTGCTTGGTAACAGATCTCAAGGCTGGGGCAGAGTAGAGGCTACTTTGTTTTAAAAATTGATTTGATTTGCTTTCAAGACTTGTGCATAAATTATTTTTCAAGGTCATATCACATGATATGGTCTGGGCACATCATTTGAGCCAAGGACTTAAAATGAAAGGGAAAGGCAGTGTGCCCATCAGGAAGAACTTCAGGGAACAGCCCACGCCGGAAAGGCACAAAGACGAGGGCCTGGGGGTGGCCAGAGAGTTGCTGGAGCTCTTGGGTAAGTCCTTCAACTTCATCTGGGTCTAGATTTCCTCGTTGGTAAAATAGGGGTGACTGGATCCATGTTCTGTGATACAGTAGAATCTGGAGATCTGGTTATTATTTGTTTCCAATCCAGATCCGTGTACTATGTATTTCAATAAGAATAAGACCAGAGGATGACATCTGGAAGGATGGGACCTCTGTTGTTCCATTGTCTTTCTATGAGGTCAGGTCACTGCATTCTACATTAGCAATGCCATTTAAGAACTAGATATTCCTGGCCGGGCACGGTGGCTCATGCCTGTAATCCCAGCACTTTGGTAGGCAAAGATGGGTGGATCACTTGAGGTCAGGAGTTCGAGACCAGCCTAACCAACATGGAGAAACCCCATCTCTACTAAAAATACAAAATTAGCTGGGCATGGTGGTGCATACCTGTAATCCCAGCTACTCAGGAGGCTGAGGCAGGAGAATAGCTTGAATCTGGCAGGCAGAGGTTGCGGTGAGCTGAGATCGCACCATTGCACTCCAACTTGGGCAACAAGAGTGAAACTCTGTCTCAGACCAAAACACCAGAAACAAAAAAAGCTAGATATTCCTATATGTTCTATAGGGGAATGCATATTTTGCAATGATTTAAAAAATAATTTAGAAAAACCTGGTAAATACTTGGGGATCTATTTCCAAATGCAAATACATAGTGGCATAAATATGGCCGACAGGAGCTAGACATTAATAAAAGAAAATGAGGTGACATTTTAAAGGTTTTTACCTATAATAGATAGGTACATCTAGTCATTCCTTCATTTTCTCTTTACCAGAGGTTGGCAAACATTTTCTGTAAAGAGACAGACAATAAATATTTTAGGCTTTGTGAACTATAACATCTCGGTTGCAACAATTCAACTTTGCTGTAGTAGCAGAAACGCAGCCACAGATAACGTGTAAACAAATGTGTGTGGCTATATTCCAATAAAACTTTATGACTCTGACATTTGAATACTATATCCTTTCTGTTGTCACAAAATATTCTCTTGATTTTTTTTCAACCATTTAAAACATAAAAACCATTCTTAGTTCATAGGCCTTCCCAAAAATAGTCAGTGAGCCAGATTTGGCCCCGTAAGCCACAGACTACTGACCTCTTTTCTTTATTATAATCCTTAGGGAGGAACTGTTTTACAGATGAGAAAATCAAGGCTTAATGAGGTTAAATAACTTGCCTAGGTTGAGCAGTTAGAAGCAGTGGAGCGGGAAGGTAATCTGAAAGGCCAGATTTGGGCTGGGCATGATGGCTCAGGCCTGTAATCTCAGCACTTTGGGAGGCCAAGGCAGGAGGATTGCTTGAGGCCAGGAGTTTGAGACAACTGGGCAACATAGTGAGACCCTGTCCTTATAAAAAAGAAGCAAAAAAAAAAAAAAAAAAAAAAAAAAAAAAAAGAAAAAAGCCAGAACCCAGGAGGCGGAGGTTGCGGTGAGCCGAGATCGTGCCATTGCACTCCAGCCTGGGGAACATGAGTGAAACTCCGTCTCAAAAAAAAAAAAAAGAAAAAAGCCAGATTCAAGAGCTTGAACACCCACCCTTATATCCAGCTACAGTAGTAGAAAGTGAAGGACTTCGCTCCCTCTGACTTTGAGGAATAATTACAAAATCTCCTTTTTAATCATTCATTCTTTTTCATGGTGGTTCACATTCCAAACATGAGAGCAAGACTGGTGTCTCACAAGGCCAGGATACTTGGCTGGCTTAGAAATTACATGGGACAATAGCTCAAAAGGTGACTGAGCAGGAGGGACAAGTGAGATGAAGAAAACCAAGAGTCAGTTCTGTGAGTACCAGGATTCAGGGAGAGGCCTGGCTACCCTTGTTTGGTCTGGGGGCTGGCTCAGCTTCTGCATCCCAAGGAGGAGATGCCACACCTCCACTGCTTCCCATTCTTGTTCTTGAAGATGAGGCATCTTGGAAAGTTCTCTAATGCTGCCCTTAATGCTTTTTTTTTTCCTTTGAGATGGAGTCTTGCTTTGTCACCCAGGCTGGAGTGCAGTGGCGTGATCTCGGCTCACTGCAACCTCCACCTCCTGGGTTCAAGTGATTCTCCTGCCTCAGCCTCCTGAGTAGCTGGGACTATAGGCACCTGCCACCACGCTCAGCTAATTTTTGTATTTTTAGTAGAGATGGGGTTTTGCCAAGTTGGACAGGCTGGTCTAGAATTCCTAACCTCGGGTGATCCCCCCACCTCGGCCTCCCAAAATGCTGGGATTATAAGTGAGAGCCACCATGCTTGGCCCCATTAATGCTTTTTAATATTTCAAGAATAGACAGACTTTGTCTTCAGAGCTACACTGTCACCTCCCAGGGGTGGCCTGTGTCTTCTCCTGTCCTCTCCACACTTGGTACAGTCTGGGCACACAGAAATGCAACGATGCCAGGTTAGTGAGGACTTTCAATTTTAAAACAGGGTGCTTCAGGAAGTTGTGAGCTGCCTACTTCTAGAAGCGTCCAGTGATGCTGCTGTCAGCAGATGCTGGTGTAGAGAGGACCATTGCAGGTGGCAGGTGAGAGTGAAGGAGGGTTTGAAGATCCTATCCATCCATGAAATAAACATTTGCTGAGCACCTACCTAATGCATGTTAGATCCAAAGCCAGAAGCCGCAACATAAATGATTTCTTTTGATTTCCACAACTAGTGTCTGAGAGAGGCATGTGATCCCATTGCTCGATGGAGAAACTGAGGCTCAGAAGTGCTTGCCTTTTTTTTTTTTTTTTTTTTTAGAGATGCAACCAGCTGGTGGCAGAGTCAGTGTAGTCTGCTCCATGCTTTCCATCCAGCCCCTGTATCAGGCTGCGCAGAGAAATGGGCTGTAGTTCTTGCTGTGACCCTCGCAAGATGTGTGGCTTGAACAAGTTATCTGACCTCTCTGAGTTTGTTTCTTCATCTGTTTAAGGGTGGACTTTTGGAGATTTGTCATGAAACAAAAAGAGATATTACATAAAGGTGTCTAAAACAGTGGCAGGCATGGTGCAGGTTACAGTTGCTTTCCGCCTGCTTCAAGATGATTTGATTTTGTGAAGTTGACTGAGTAATCAATCTTACTCAGTTTGGGATCTTCAGGGTCTAGCAGAGAGCCAGGCATGGAGCAGACACTTAATAAATATTTGTAAAATGAATGAATACACAATGCTTATATCTACTGATGCCAACCATCTGGATACTCAAATGCTTCAACATGATGGGTTCTTGACTTTTCATCTAAATGTTGGATGTCATCTTAAAATATAAGCAGCTAAAATGATCTGAAACATAAATATGAACACAGTGAGGTCTCACTGATGCAGATTCCTTGGGGAGAATGTGTAAATCAGTGAAAGTCTGCATAGGGCTGTATTTAAGGAAAGTGTTATTTTCAAATAACTCCAGCTATGTCACCAGGTTTATTTATTTACCATCCATCCATCCATTGATGTAATCAGTCAACAGTGGCCTAGAGGGGCTCTTTGGGCCTCCTTTAATAAATAAGGAGGAAAGATTATCTGGAGCATGCTGGTTATTTGTAGATAAATAGAAGCAGCTCAACTGCTTATGGGAGCTTGGAAACAGTCTGTGCTTAAGTGTTTTGGACATTCCTCCAATATCCTGCATACGCCGTTTCTGTGCCTTGTCTCTGAAGAATCTTTATGCTAATTTACAGTCATATTCTTTTCTGCTAAGAGGGTTGGGAATGCAGAGAGCTTCTGTTTGTTGCCTCTGAATGTGTGCAGCTCATGTGAAGAGGAAGAACCAATATAGGGGCTCGATTCCCTAGGGAGACCTCATTCTTGATATTAGAAACAACTTACTGGACTTAATAGGAATAAAAATCCCATGAACTAGATGAGGCTGGGCCATTATTCTTGGGATTGAAAGCTGGATGGAAGGACTCCTTTTATAGAAATTATTTTTGATGACTCAGAACACAATGATACCTTCGGGTCTACTGAAATGTATATGGCTGTTAATCTCTATGCTTAAATGACTCCAGGTTTCTATGCTTTTGGGATTCCTATTTGTGCTTTTGTCGCTATTGTGTGTCCTTCAGCTGCGGCTAACCATCACTTTTTTGATTACCAGTATGCCTATCACTAGCAGTTCAGCATCTTTCTTCCAATTTGTTGCCTGCTTCCAATATTCCAGGGACAAAAAAAAAAAATGTAATAATAACAAAAATTCAGAGTAAGCCTGTTAGAGCTGTTTGTGAAGCAAGAATGAAAAGAATCCAAATGAGTCTGAAAGGCCTTTCTGTGATTGCATGGCATGAACTTTGGAATCTGGACATTGTGAGGTCTGGTGGCTGTGTGAGGGTCTTTTCCACTTCTCTGTCCTTGACTGTCAGCTGGAGAAGTGATTTCAGG